CTGGGCAGCGAGCCGTGAGTGACAGCCACGGCTCTCTGCAGGGAGAGGATCGAGAAGTGAGCGAACAACGGTATGTGTTCCCGATCTATTGAGCCGACCTGTGACAGTTTCATTGTCACACACGTCGGCTCAATAGATCGGGAAGTGAGCGAACACATACTGTCGCTTGATCCTGTCCCTGCAGAGAGCCGTGACTGTCACTCACGGCTCCCTGCAGGGATTCCCGCCTCCCTGCTCCGATCCTCCAGCGCTGACTGGCGGAACGGACGGGGGAGGGGGCGGGCACAGCTGGCTCTGTCTCTAGATAGGCAGAGCCAGCTGTCAATCACGCAGCTGGGTGGCTCTTGACAGTAATGTTGGGATCCGTCCCGGCGTCTCAGTATACCGCGAGCTGTAGCCCGTTATATACTGAGGTTTGGGTGACGGGAGGACGCTAGTTTGTGTCCTCCTGTTACCCTCAGGAGAACTATGGGGAAAACACTGACCCCATAGTTCTCCTTTAACAAATGCTAGCTGCCTGGCAGTCATGCTGTGATCCCCTGACTTCAATGCTCTACGTCGCTGGTCAGGGTCATGTATGAAGCTGATGGTATGTAAACCTATAATCTGCGTGCTTGTGGCTCTGTAAGCAATGGCCCCATGGCATCAGCATGACAGCCAGGATCCTAGTAGATAGGGCTCTGCCCCTTAGTTCCAGTGAAGGGAACTCTTAAGACATCAGCACACCAAGACATTTTGGACAATTTCAGCTCTGAATTTCTGGGGGGATTTTTGCACTTCTGCAACAGAAAGAAAACGCTTTGAATGTCACATCTTTATTAGCGGGTCGGGATTTACACTCCGGCGGTTTTATAGAAAAGAGAATGTTTAGTATACGAAGAAATTCCTGTACATGAGAAGAGAAGAGGCGAGCTGCTCAGCGAGACCCCCGGACCGCCCTCTTCCGCTGGAACTCCGCCTCGTCCACCATCCACACGGCCCCTAAATATAAGCCCTCTTAAAGAGGACAAATGTTTTTGAAAGTCCCCCCCCCCATAGACTTGCATTGAGTTAGACTTCAAATACGAATACGAAATTTTCCCACGTTCTGAAGTTCGAATTAACGGGTGTGTTCGGCCCTTCCCCCGCTATAGAGCTGGAATTTTTCTTTTTTCTTTTAGGAAGTTATACTTTCATTTCACAGATATATACTTTTTGTTCTTTATAGAAAACATAGTAACAGTTTCCGGGATCCATTTACCTTCCAAGTCACCTTGTTGAGCCTGAAGAAGGCGAACATTCTGGTGAACCATTGGTAGATCTCATTCAGCGCCAGCTGTTTTTGGGGTGACTCCTGGATCGCCTACAAACGCAAATGATGACATCACGGGTTATATTCCACGTATGCGAATCCGCAACTGACCACCGGGGGGCGCCAGAAGGCAACGCTTCACCCTTACATCACAGCAGCTGTGTATACTACACACGGTATATAGGAGCCTTTATGACGGGGGAACTTGTAATCAGTTCGGCATTTTTAATATGAAAATGTGAACTTTAAATAATTACTTTACACCCAATTTATAATTAAGAAAACAGAAGGGGAATGTTAAAGCGGAACACCTGCGGAGTGGTATGTGCCCCCCCTATAGGTAGCAAAGGTTGAGGCAAGGGTGGGCTACTCCGGCTCTCCAGCCGTGCTTTAACTGCAAATCCCAACATGCCTCTGCCTCTGGGAGTCACGACGGTAACTGTTAGTCGTGCAATGCCTCATGGGACTTGTAGTTCCACAATAGCTGAAGGACCTAGCTGGAGGGCTACAGTTGCCCGCCCCTGGTTTAAGTGCTGGTTTAGTCTAGGGGAGGTTTTAAACATAGAAGTACTCACCTTTTTCATTCTCCCGCAGACTTCCTCCTTCCTGTACGACCAATCCCACAAAGCCGCTTCTCTCTTAAAGGGGGGAGGTGTGGCCGCCTCCCTCTGCTACATCATCGCGCAATACTTGACCAACGGGGAGGAGGGAAGGGGACCGTGTGGTCATCAGGATGTATATAGGGTGCAAACTCCCCTAGTAGTGACCTAACAGAGGTAGGCGCCCTCAGCGCTTCACCTAGGGTTGCCACCGGTCCGGGATTCACCCAGACAGTCCAGTTTTTGAGTCCTGTGTCCAGGTTTCAGGCCAGCTGACACCCGGACTCAAGACACTAAGTGCCGCCGTGCAAAGGATGTAAAGGTCGTGGGTGACACTTCGTTATTAGGCTGATGGTTGTACGTTACTTACCCATCGAATGAGGGAGGCGTATGTGAACGGCGGTCTGACGTTGTTATTCTTGTAATATTCAATGCAGTTCGTCATATCTGTGAACAATCAGAAATGTAAGTCACTGCACTTCCAACCGGTGTCCGGGGAATATCTGCCCATTGCCTGACCACTCAACGTTCTCCAGCCTCCATTCAGCCCCTGGGAGCTAAAGAATGTAGCCCTATGTAAGTCACTGCACTTCCAACCGGTGTCCGGGGAATATCTGCCCATTGCCTGACCACTCAACGTTCTCCAGCCTCCATTCAGCTTCTGGGAGCTAAAAAAATACAACCCTATTTACCTTGCTGCAGTCCGAGCTTACACAGAGCTGAAGGCTCTCTCCACTTCCACGTGACGCTACTAGACCAATCACCAACCCTCAACCTACCCTGCATGGGTTTTGATTTAACCTTCCTGGTGGTAATCCCGTGTTTGGCACGGGGGTAAATTTTCCATACCAAAAGCGGTAACCCCCGAGCCACACTTGGCGTCTTCCGGGTTCCTTACCTGCGAGCGCCGGCATTGCAGGGGGTCGGAACCGGCTGGAAATCATACCGCCAGGGAGGTTAAGGGAGATCTTCTTGGGGTCTTGGAGGGCCGATCAAGTAGATCTATACTCCAAGACCGCATGAAAGGCCCAGGCTTTAGGTGATTTAATCAGCACCAGAGGGAACCAGTAGCAGCATTTTCTCCACAAAAGTTAAATGTTTCAGCCCCTTTGTTCGGCTCTATTCATCAAATCCCACCAGCCAGTTACCATTTGGATATGTCTACTTGATGACCCGGTGGGAAAACTAACCTTACCTAGCATACGCATTGTATATAGGATACAGGACCGTGCTTGAAGTGGGCTTGTCGGCCATTTTTTATTAAACATTCTCCCTTCAAGCCGTCACCACACGGTAACTCTATTATCTCCCTTAGCCATTAAAAGTTTCTCCTATAGGCTTCTCTAAAACAATGTTCTGGGGGTACCGACTTGCGTTCTAATTATGGATCACCTAATTAGCCCAACGGTCCGCTCCGTTTGATCGGCGGCCATCTTTATAACCAAGATACGTTTTTTCCTTTTCTTTCCAAAAGGTTTTGTGAACATTCTTTCAATTAGCATATGCAAACGAGCTTATTATATAGGAGAGGCCCATTTTTAAATGGGGGACCCCCTTGAGCCTGTGCTTTTATATTCACACGGAGTTTAACGTCGGCTGAAGCGATGTCTGCGGAGTCGAGTTGAGAGTGTTACTCTTTGTAAATTCAGAGCAGGGGAATCCATTAGCTCGGGCCCCGTTCTGGGTAGTTCGCGGGTCTATTATTTTAATTGACTGATTCCTACCTATTAAGGGTGCTTCTGCATAAAAAGAAGAAGAAGAGTGCGGTGTTTGTCCCTCCTCCAGCTTTCAATGTGCATGCTCTTTATTCTGGGGAGTACTCTCCACAATGGCTAATGGTTACTTATGTTGATTGATTTCGCTATGTCCGAATGTGACCTTTGCTATCCCGCCTTCTATAGCCGAATGGCGGCATTCAGACCATGCACTAAATCTGCAGTTGAGATAATTTAGCTCTGTTTACAGGTTATGCAAATAGGGCTTTTCATCGGAGGGGGAAACATCCGTTGAATAGAAAAAAAAAAGGCTTATATAAAACCATTGTGTATCCTCTATAACGTTTAACCAGTCGCAAGAGAATTACGGCTGCCTTGGCAACACGACAAGACGCGTTTTCGAACATGTGAAGATCTTTGACGGCGTTACAAAAATGACATGCGGTTCTGGTATCCCTCTTCCCGAAAGCCACAGATTGTACTTCTCCTTCTGTTTACCCTTGGCCAAAAAAGTCGAAGCGATGTTTGAGGCCATCACAGAACCAAATTGCTGGTCCACAGATCGCTCGCTAGACCTGCACTGAAAAGAGGTGTGGCCTCAGGGATGGACTGGGAATAATTGGCCCGGGAGGGGGAGGAAGGTGGAGCAAACGCAGCCAATTAGCCCTTTCAGTGTAAGGACAGATTGTTGTGGGCGAAGGAAAGTGCACCACGCAAAGTATGCCATGGTGTTGAAGGGATTGGAGGGCCTGGTGCAAGTTGAGTGTTCCTGAAGGACATGGTTTATTGTGACACTCCTCCAGCATCAGCTTCCTCTGCAGTTTCTTGGCATTCAGTCATACGATATCTTTGAGCTACAAAGGAAGTGACGGAAGACTTCCATCTGCTGGACGCTGGATTTGCAGAACTGGTCAGGTAGCAGATTGACATAAAATGCCCAGTGTCACTGACTGTGGGTTTCACTATGATCACTGCGTGAATGGTGAAGTATCTCCACACAGGTCCACCAGATCAACATATCCTATTAGTACTGGGCCAGCTCAGTCTTTCCCTTGAATGTTTGAAGAATCCCCAGATAGGGCCACCACCCAACACAGCCTATTAGTACTGGCCCAGCACAGTTTTTCCTGTGAATGGTTGAGTATCTTCACATAGGTCCATCAGAGCGACACATCCTTTTATTACTGGTCCGGCCCAGTACTCACTGAAATGGTGAAGTATCTTTACAAGGGTCCACTAGCCCAACATATCCTATTAGTTCTGTCCCAGCCCAGTCTTCCCTTGAATGGTGAAGTATCTCCACACAGGTCCACCAGAGCGACACATCCCATTATTACTGGTCCGACCCAGGACTCCCTTAAATGTGAAGTATCTCCACAAAGATCCACTAGCCCAACACATCCTATTAGTATTGTCCCAGCTCAGTCTTCCTTTGAATGTTGAAGTATTTCCACATAGGTCCACCACCCAACACATCCTATTAGTACTGTCCCAGCCCAGTCTTCCCTTGAATGGTGAAGTATCTCCACACAGGTCCACCAGATCAACATATCCTATTAGTACTGGCCCAGCCCGGTGTTCCCTTGAATGGTGAAGTATCTCCACACAGGTCCACCAGCCCAACATATCCTATGAGTACTGTCCCAGCCCGGTTTTTCCTGTGAATTGTTAAGCATCTCCACATACTGTAGGTCCACCAGAGCGACACATCCCATTATTAGTGGTCCGGCCCAGTACTCCCTTAAATGGTGAAGTATCTACACAAAGGTCCACTAGCCCAACACATCCTATTAATTATGTCCCAGCTCAATCTTTGCCTTGAATGGTGAAGTATCTCCACATAGGTCCACCCGAGCAACACATCCGATTATTACTGGCCCAGCCCAATCATCCCTTGAATGGTAAAGTTTCCTCACACAGGTCCACCATCCAACAGATTCTATTGGTACTGGCCCAGCTTAGTCTTTCCCATGAATGGTGAAGTATCTGCACACAGGTCCACCAGCTCAAGACATCCTATTAGTACTAGCCCAGCCCAGCCTTCTCTTCTAGTCTGTTCTTAATCATAGAAATGAACAAAGGCCCACAGACATCCATTGATGGCTATCAAATTCTGGGCAAAAGCGCATGTATGAAGACCTTTGATCTTCACAACCATGTAAAGGCACCCATGAGCTGCTGTAGATTACCTGACCAGCAGGTGAAGATTCGGTTCACTCGAGTTATAACTATATCCAATAGGGGGATTAAATAAACCAGACATTGTAAATGCCAAAGATGTTTTTGGAGGTTGCGATGCAGGAACCTGGGGGTACAAAACACATGGGCCACAAGAGAGGCGAGTATACAACCTCTTCTATTACAGGGACCTTTCATTTGGATTTATTTTCAACCTGACAGGGCAACTTTGAAACTGGCAATAAGAAGCTTTACTCATCCTAAAACTCCTTGAAACTCTTGGACTTCCTTTCCAGGACAGGACGAAGATTTTGGCAATTTGGGAGTAGAACTCCTTCTACAAATTGAGTTACAGACTAGATGAGGATTAAGGTTATCAGGTTATCATCTGATGTCTGTATCCTGCTAGGGAGACTTGCCTTCACTTCCTGTCCCAAAGACGCAACAGGAAAGCAGGGGAAAACACCTCAAAGTGACAGGAAGAAGATGCAGCCTATAGCCTTCTGCATCTAAAGTCAAATCTGTCCCCAGCTAAAATAAGTGTAATAAATAAAACAAACAAACCGTGAAATATGTTGACGCTGCCGCCCTCCCAGAGTGGTCTTCTCAGTGCCAGGACAGTGTCGGGGAGTCCTTCCTGTAGTGGGACTGTGAGATCCAGGACAGGCCAATTAGATACTCCAGAATAATGAGACTGGTGGAGAAGGAGACTACGCTCTCTCTGCTTCTGTAAGGAAAATATAGGCGGCAGGTGATGATCAATCAATGATCTACTAAACACCAGGAAGATACAT